CTGTTCAGACCGATCCACGTGTACACACAGAAAAATGAACCCTTCCAGATTAGAAGAAGAAGAAGAAGAAGGAAAAAAAAAAAAAAAACAATAATAATAATAACAATAATCATCATCATCATCATCATCATAGTCATAATAATAGTAATAATCGCAAAAGCGGAAAATGACAAAGAAAAACTTACAAAAGCTCCACCGTGCTCAATTTAAAATATATATATATATATAAAAACAATGGTTAGGGTTTGTCCTCTTTGAACCCTAACATGCTATATAGTAGGGAGTACTGGAGCTGGCCTGTCCTTGGCCTCTTGTTTTTCGGTTTTTTCTTTCCTATTATTTTTTCCTCCGAAATGGGTTTTTGTGGTGTGGCCTGTCCACGTTGTTGGCTTTGACCAATGATGTCTCACCCTTAAACTGGACCATGGAATTTTTTTATTTTTTTGGGGGGATGGTCTGGGTCCCATAAATTAGTTGCTGACTGTAGATAGGTACCTGTCGTGGGTCCAGAAACCGACGTCTACAACACCCTGGGCTTTATTAAAAAAAAAACAAAAAAAAACATGAAATTTGTGTGAGGGACGCCAGGCCCGTTTCCTGCCATTGTAATAAAAAAAGAGTCAATCGCCTGAAAAGAACCGAAAAAAAAAAAGCAAAAGAAAGAGGTAATTTATAAGTATCATTATTATTAATATACTAAATAGTAAATCATTATTATTTAGCCTCAATTGGGGTGGTCCTATTAACTTCCCGGGAAGATTCATTCCCGTTTTTGTTTTATGAAACGAGAGAGAGAGAGAGGCAGAGAGGGGCCGCGAGTTTGCCACGCCCCTCCGTGCAGGTCGCTGCCTCTCTCTCTCTCTCTCTCTCTCTCTCTCTCTCTTTGTCTGTGTGTGTGTGTGTGTGTGTGTGTGTGTCTGTCTCGGGGGCGCGCAACTTTGTTTTTTACCTTTGGTTTTCTTTCTTTTTTAATCTTTGTGTGTTTGATTCTTTTTTTTCTTTCTTTGCCATTCAGCAAAGACTGGACCTTCCCTTGGCCGACCCCCTAAGGCTGCGGGCCCTATGTATGGCCCAAGTACTGGTGGTTTAAGGGCGCACTAGCAGTAGGAAAAGCACCCGTAGTACTTCCAAGTAGAGGTAGGCCAAGCAGAAGAAGACAAAATGGAAGTACCTTTAGGGGTAGGGTCCCGTAGCATATAGTCTAGGGCCTGTAGTAGTCGATGTCAGGTCTGCAACGATGTTTCCGTCCGAAAGGGAGGCACCGGTTGCTTGGAGACCGCATAGCCTGGAAGTCACCGCCCAAGAGGCTGGTAGGCCGCTGTATCTCCAGGAGGAGGAGCGAGTTACTCTCTCCTCCTCATTTTCTGGGTCTGAGTTTGGGCGTCACACTGCTGGAGGGTCAGGTGGCAGAGCTCCAGGTGGTAGAGCACTAGTGTCCATCGCACTGGGAGGAGGAAAGCCTGGCCATCCACCTCGGCTATGGGGGACTGATCCAGGTTAGGAGGAGGAGGAGGAAGAAGGGGACTAGGGAGGAGGGAGGCCAAGGGTACTTACCTGGATATGGTGGACACCATCTTCATCACCATGGTAGGCACTGCTTCTGTAAGGCCGCAATTGGAGTAGCGCTGCTTTAAGAAGACTTCAAGACAGAGTCAAGCATGGCGGCCTGAAGAGCAGAGGACGTAGCTGCTTTTGCATTGTCTTTTGAACATCGGGGCAGGGACCCTAGTAGTCCACCATAGCCATTGCCTCTCTGAAGTAGAGGAAGGTGGAGGCCATGGTTATGGTGGACCTCTTCATAGTCATTGCCTCTTTCAAGGCTCTTTGAAGTAGAGGAAGGTGGAGGCCATGGTTATGGTGGACCTCTTCATAGCCATTGCCTCTTTAAAGTAGAGGAAGGTGGAGGCCATGGTTATGGTGGACCTCTTCGACTACACGCCCAATTCCCATCTACAGGTCCAAGAAGCCTCTACGAAAATTCTAAATAGGTTCATCGTTTCCCTAACCTAGGCACGCTCACCTAAATTGATAAAACAAAGAGACCAATACCCAATACGGTCTTGTTAACAGGTCAAAGGAGTACTTCGGGGTAATTCAGTAGAGTCACAAAAACGAGCTTCAATTGCACGACTATGGGGCAAGATACAGTTTGAAATTGCACGTCCGGCACCCTACCAGGACAGAAAGCTGGGATGTTTACATTGCCCAAATTGCAATTCCTCACATCTTCTGAGGACCATGGATTGACACACGCCAGCCATTCTCTTTGTGGTCCCTAGACACCCGCCAGTCGCTTCGTGGTAGCCTCCTACAACAGAAAGGCGAAGGTGGCGCAGGGGGTGGGACCGCGCCCCCTGATGGTATCTGGAAGCATCATCCAGTTTATATATAGCTTACAGGCTGAACAGCCTGTGAAGCATTGGGGCTCGCCACACAGCCTTTCCACCTGGGCCATTTTCCAAAACTGTCAGATGGAACCCTAAATGTAGCGCTCAAAAGAAAAGCCACCCTTCGCCACACATACTTCTTCGAAAGCCGACTTTCGAACACACTGTTGGACAAAGAGGAGGGTGGTCCTCAGGGTAGAGAGACCCTGACAGATGAAACCTTCTTCGAAAGCCGACTTCCGAACACACCGCGACAAAAAAGAGGGTGGTCCTCGGGGTAGAGAGACCCTAACAGATGGTCCTCTCTGCCCTTTTCCACAAGGCCCGAAGGCCACTGCTGTTGAGAATGGGGCTCCCCACACAGCCTTTCAAACCGAGGCAGTATTCGAAAGTCGTCAGATGAAATTCGAAAGCCCGCCGTTCGAAAGAAACCCCCCCTTCGCCACACAGACTTTTGAAACATCTGTCCTTTCGAATTCCGTCATTGTACTGTACTTCCCTCGTGACAGGTGGGCACACCTCCACAAAAATGGCGGTTGTCAGGGTAGCAACCCTGACAGATGGTCATCGTGAGGGCCCATTTTCACAAGACCCGACTGACGCTTTTGAGTTTCAGGCCGTGACAGGCGGGAGGGACGGGCCACTTGGAAATGCCTTTCGAGTGCATTCCGACTGACACCTTTCGAAACATGAAAAGTGCAAGTTGGCTCGAAAGGCCGTGTGGCAAAGATGAAGCCTCCATTTTTCGTGTTTCGAAAGGCTGTGTGGCACACAGCCTTTCGAAACCAGCAAAACCGAAGTACATTTTCGCAGCGAAGCTGAAAGTCCATTTTTGCCTCACACCCTTTCGAGCCATTGGCGCCTGAAAACCCTTCGAAAGGCGAGACACTCAGCTCAAAAGGCGTTTCGAGTTGGCACTATCCTCCTTCCAGGCACGGCCCGTTTCTCAAAAGGGGCCTCAAAAGGGGCCTCAAGGTCTTGCGAAAAAGGGCTGTCTTGAGGTCATCCAGCCTGACACGGCCCGTTTCTCAAAAGGCGCCTATTAGTAAAGGTCTTGCCGAAAAGCACCGTCTTGAGGTCCCCCTGTCAGGGTTGCGCCCCTGACAATGGCCAATTTTTGGAAAGTCGGTGCAGCAAAAGGTGGGCTTCCGGAAGTCTGTGTGGCGAAGGGGGGATTTTATTTCAGACCCCTTCGCCAATGCCTCTTCCTGAAATGTTGAGGGACGTTGGACCCGCTTTCCAGCAGGTGCTGCTCCCCACCAATAGATGGAGCCTCCCTGAGAATGCTAGTGATGTCTGCTCTTATCAGCACCCCTAGAATGCTAGTGGTGTCTGCTCTTATCAGCACCCCTAGCACTCACTCGGGTTCCTGCCAAATTTCCAAAAATGTCTTCGGTCGAAAGGCTGTGCGGAGAGGCCCAGTGGGGGGGCCATGACAGGCAGGAGGGCGGTGGCACTTCCAAAAGCCTTTTGAGGCCAGGTTCACTGACACCTTTTAACACATTATCACCAACCCTGGGTTCGAAAGGCTGTGTGGCCAAGATGGGGTGTCCATTTTTCGTGTTTCAAAAAGGCTGTGCGGCGAGGCCCTTTTAATTGGGGGCTGCTGATCTGGGGTGACTTTGTGGAAACATCTGGGCGCTGTTCCCATTAGCAAAGAGGATTAGACTTAATTCGGGAATCTAGATGCGTTTGGCACACAGATGCAGAAAAGCTGATCAATCTCAATTTTCTGCATAGTTCCGCACAAACACGTCCAGATTCAGGAATTAAATCCAATCCTCTTTGCTAATGGGACCAGGCCCCCGGTGACTTCTAAAACATCTCGGGGTCCGGGTGAAAAAAAAAAAAAAAAAAACACAGAGTAACGCTAAGGTCTCACTTACTCCCCCGAGGCCAGGTCCAACTAGCGGAGAGGATTGGATTGAATGACTGAATCTTGGACTAGATTGTGGAAAGGTGCAGAAAATGTCCAATCCCTTTTGCTAGTGGGACCTCGCCCGTGTCACCGGCCAAGGCAAACCCTGGATGGCGAGGCACGGCCACTGTTATTCGGTAGAGGTAAGGGCCTCTTCCACACCACTTGAAAATACTAGAGTTTCAAGTGCACATTAGAAGAGAAATTGAGATTAATTTACACTTGAAACTCGATTTATGTTTCGATGTGCACTTGAGGAAACCCTTGAACAGGATTTCAGCACTTGAAACCCAACTCCAAGATTTGACCAATCCTGGTCCAGGATCACCTGCTGGAAAAGAAAAAAAAAGAAAAAAAAAAAGGGGTAACTTGGGCGCAGTCACGAAAACAGTTTGTAATTGCACTTCAGGCAATCCCACGAATACAACACACCCCCACGCGACCCCACCGGACCCGAAACTTCGGCCCAGTCACCAAAACAGTTTGTAATTGCACTTCAGGCAATCCCGCGAATACAACACCCCCCACGCGACCCCACCACGCGACCCCACCGGACCCGAAACGTAGGTCACATACATTCAGCATTACTGGCCCTTTTGCCTCAAGTGCAACTACAAACTCAATCCCTGACTGCGCCGTAGTTTTCGCAAAAAAAAAAGGCCCCACTTGGGAGTGCTGGCAGTATCCGCTGGCAC